AGTGCTATTTTAGCAACAGAAAATAAAACTAATATAACAAAAAAAAATAACAATAGAAGTCCAAAAGCTAGAACAACTAAGAAAGATAATATCACAAACAGAAAACTAACAACAACAAAGACATATATATATAAAACATCATATAATAATAAATAAAAAGTTATGTAGCAAATGCAGAAATATGTATTAAAGTACAAGCTAAAATATACAATAAAGCATATGCCAAGCCATATGCTAAAACATATGCTAACATAGATACACCTCAAGAGGGCAAAAAGCAATAGTCCAGTCTTTTTGCAAAACTAAAAAAAAGGCAGTTTACATACTCTGCCTTATTATTTAAAAATTCTATTAAGTCAAAAAATAACAATGCCTTGGTCTTTAATATCAAAAGCTTGAATCACTCTTTTAATAAGATTATAATTTTTCTGCATGAACATGTAGAACAAGATATGATTATTGCAAAACAACACTTTATCAAAGATGACTGAATATACTTAAAACTAGTATTTGCTAATAATAAACAACTTAAATATTATACTAATAAGAACTTAGTAATCTTTAATTAAACCTACTATAGATTCATTCTTATAGATAATAAAAAATTCTTTCTTTTTGTTAAGGTTAGAAATTTGCTACTTAACAACAAAGAATGGGTTTCTAGGACTATTTTGATGACTTTGAAAGCTTTAAAAAAATTACAGCTATTAAATTACTTTATATCAAGAAAACTCCTTATGCAACTAACCAATAGGTCATAATCTTTGAAATAATTAATAATCCAAAACTCAAAACCAGAATTCTACATTATATATTTTTATGAAATAACAAAGTCACAACTAAATAGAAGTTAACTTTTAAGGTTTGCATCTTTTATAATAAAAAAGGTCATCTAAAAAAAGACTGCAAGCAATTCAAGAAGTTAGTTAAACTCAGACAACAATACAATAAGTATTAAGAAAACAAAACCAAAAAAATAATAGAACCCTTATAAAATATTTTAAAAACTTTTAACATGCAAAACAAATCATCAAATGAGATAACACTTTAAAAAAAAATCCAATTACTCAAGAATGTAAAGTTATTGCAGTTACTATTTTACAATTTAATAAAGAATCTCTTGCTTGGACAAGTGATTAACCTGATTTAAAAATAGATAACAGAGAACCCTTAAACTAACAAAAAGCTTTGTCAAATACAAAAAAAAAAAGCTAGTCATGTTTAATTAGTAATAACAAGCTAAAAGTCAATTGGCAATATACCAAACTATCTCTTCCCTTGACCTTGAGAAAAATGAACCAAAATTTACTTTAATTACTAAAAAACAAAACAAAGTTAAAAGAAACTTACAAAAAGCAAAAAAAAGATAAACTCTATTTGAAAACCAGAATTTCAAATAAAAACAAAACTTTTGAAAATACACAAATTCACTTTTTATTTAAACAATGACTAAATCAAAACTAACAACAGCACCCTAAATATCAAGGAGCTCAATAATAAACAAAAACAAAAAAATACTTTAATATTATTAAAATCATATTCCTTAAATTGTAATACAAATAAATTTGGCTGTATTAATATTTTTAAAATTAATTTTTATAATAAAATTTTAACAATTAATTTTAATAATATACTTTCTAAGCAAAAAATATTTTTAAAAACTTATTTTATAAACTTCATTAAGAAACTTTTTTAATTTTATTAAAAAACTTTTAAGCAATTAAAATATAAAGATTGTGTAACACTAGAGTTTACTATTAAAATATTTTAAAGTTTTCTAAAATTTTATATTTTTGAAACTAAAAAAAATTTTTGCTTTTAAGACAAATATTAATTTTTAAACTTATAATAATTAAAATTATAATCTTAGGATGTGGTGACTTAGTGAAGTGGATAAGTTGTCATACCCCCAAATAGTAAGTTGTGAGTTCAAAACCTACTGACAGTAAAATTTAGATAATTACTTATATAATATATAGATGGTATTATGGTGATGACATTCTGTCAATCAGTTGAGATAGGATACCTGTAGCTATAGTCGCATCAGCATAACTGACAGGTTTAAGACATCTGTGTAACCTATTACACAAAGAAATGCAAACCGGTACCAGGCAGTGCAAACTTAAAATAAGTCCTTAGGCTATGTAAATTCATAGAACTAGGAAGCTGAAACTTATTTGAAAATTCCAAACAGAAAGGTAACATAGATCTTCAATAATACTACTGTAAAGGCTAGACCTAGAAAATAGATACCAATATTAAGGATTCAGGTGGGCAAGAACCTCAAGTAAAGGGTACTACCAATCAGGCCACCAGATTTCGAATCAGAAGAAAAGGATATTGGGCCAGTTTCAATATACCAAGAACAGGTTACAGTCCTTCTAGACTATCTGAATTGAAAGTTTGGATTTAAAGCAGGGATATACTAAAAGTACTAAAGATATACTATGAAGTTAGTACTGGGGTCTGGATGAACTCTGTAAGGGTAGCCCATGTTAGTGTTCTAAAAGTAAATAGATAGTTAACAACAGGAGGCTTTCTGTGCCTTACTGGCAGGTAACATACTTTGAAATGTATAATGGTCTAGAAACTAGTACAAAAAAAATAGATACTATACTGCTCAGATGGTATACCGGTTAGGTATATATAAGGGGTTAGTTAAAGATTTCAATATAACAGGATGGATGATCAGAGAGTTTAAATAAATAATCTTCTAATAGGTTATAGGTATGGCATTTAGTGTAGAATCTTAGAATAAACTATTTAAATAGGCAACCAAAAGTTGCATACATAACTAGCTGTACTTTTATCTTTGTAAAAATAGTTGTAATAGCTAACCTGATATAAAGTTAATAAAGTATCACCACAAGTATGACCTTTAAAAAAAAAAAAAAAATTATAATTTTTAAGAAATATGGCAACTTAGTGAAGTACTTATTAATAGTAAAAATTTGAATAATTATTTATATAATATATAGACAATATTATAGTAACAGCATTTTGTTAATTAGTTGAGATAAGATATCTGTAACTACAGTTGCACTAGCATGACTAACAGGTTATAAGTATATATATTAGCAAAACTTATAGGATTTAGAATTGGACTATAACAAATCTAGACAAATAGGATTGTTAACTTATATTTAAAAATCACATATAACAAAATTGAACAAATCCCAAATCCAAATTCCAAACTCTATTTTAATTTTCAAATTCCAAATCCAAATTCCAATTCCAAACTCTATTCCAAATCTTAATTCTCAATTTCAAATTTCTAATCTTAAATCTTATTCTTATAGAAAGATTTTTATATAATTGATTAGTAGTATAAATTTGAAATTAAGCTGTATTAGGCTAAAATTGATTTTGAGATATATCAAATCAATTTATATACTATGCATTAAATTATAAATAAAATTTATTATATAGTGATTAAAAGCACAAAATACAAATATTGTACTTATTGTACTGCATGACTAAATTTACTACATATATTTAATTTAGACTAGAATTTTATTATCACATATTTTTTTACTAACATTTGCTTTCACATTTAACTTTGGATTTCTTACAATGCTATTTATTAATATCACAATTACTTTTAGACTTGCATATGTTTCAAATAAGAACATTACTATTATTTTGATGATTTTATAACTCTTTTTAACTTTTGTATTAGTAATTGTAGTGTGGATTTTGTAAAGTTCATCATATATATTTTTTATTACCAATACAGAAAGTTTAATTTCAACCTTTTTATTGTCTTTTTTTTTGTTTGGATCTAAGAATAATGTATAATATAAAGTTAGATAAAATTTTTGTAATTTAAATTTATTTTTAATCTAGTAACAGAATATAAAAATATATAATTTAGTGTTTGTAAAGTTAAAAACTTAATTTGTTTCTTTTTTGTTTAGTACCAATTAATATATTTTTTTTAACTAAGTTATTATGAATAAATGAATATTCTATAGTATATATTTAATTTATTAAAATATATAAAACAAATCTGATATTTAATCAAAATAGTTATTTTAATACTGTAACATATATTATAACATGATAAACTAATTTAATGCATCTCAAAGTCAAATTCTACATAGCTTAATTTCAAACCTACATCTATTCAAATCTGAGATATGACATATATAAGTGTTAAACACCTGAAATAATTAACTGAAAATAGCTAAAAAGAATAAAAAAATATAAGTTTTATATAATAAAGAACTTTTTATTACTACTTCATTTATTACAATTAGCTCCTAATATCTTTATTTCTTGCATATTACAATATTAGATTTTATGAACTTTTTTGTGAATATAAAGGTCTAGTATATCTAGTACTTAGGCTTGAGTTCTTTATTAAAATATTATAGCAGTTAAATTAGTATAGTCTTTAAATTTATTTGGTTTCTTATCTTTAATTTTATTTGATAAAAAATTTTTAATATTAACACTTCCTATCTTTACTGATTTTTGACAATAAACAAATATCATATGTTCATTATTTTTAACTTCAAGTTTATTAAGATAATGCTTTGTATTTATTATTTAACTTCAATTTCCATTAAGTAATAACTTTAAAGAAAAGTTGAATATTATACAACATCTAAGAGTACTAATAGTAAAAGTTCTAAAATAAGTTAATATTTGACTTAATTTTATTAACAAACAAAAAAAATCTTAAATTTTTTTAAAAAAACTTAACATTCAGAACTTCTAAAATTTATTGAAAACTATTATATTTTTTGATAGAATATTATGAAATACTATATAAATTGATAGAAAAAAGAGAAAAATAGCATAATAATTACATTACAATATAGTTATATTTAACTTTTTCTCAATTTACAGTCAAAATTAATTTGATCTTTGTATTATTAATTCTAATCAATGTATTACAAAATATTACCAACCTCTTATACTATGTTAATCAGAACATGCAACTTGCAAATTTCTTAATTTTTTTTAATTAGCTACTAGTTTAAACAATATTTATATTATTGGTTTGAATCATTAATCAAATTATTTATATCAAAGTCTTTATCTTTATACACAATATTTTCACTTAATGATTCAGTAAACTTTAGCTTAAAAAATAATGATATTAAATTTTTAATTTCTAAATTTAATGTATTTTCTCTAACAGAATTATTTACTTCTTCAAAAGAGTTTTCTATATCATCTTTCAGATTTTTAAGGTCTTCTGGAAAGACAGAATTATTATTAGACAAATTAGTACTATTTATTATAAAACTTGCAATTTTATTAAAAATTGATAAAAAATTCTTATCATAAAAATTTTGATCTACATAGTTAAGTTCAGATTTAGCATTTTTTACTAAAAATAAATGTATTTAAACCATTAACTTCAGTCAATTAATGCTTAATCTAAAAATAATATTTAAGCTAATAATATAAAATTATAATATATATATATAAAAAAAATAAATAAATATACTTGGTTCATCTTTTTCTCAAATACCAGTTTAGTATATTAAAAATATGTTCATATGTGACATTATGAGAAAAAATAGAATATATTTATATAGCAAGATTCTTGATATAGTCTTCATTTCTTTTAAGTTTAATAGACATTCATTAATTAATTAATGTGTTAGCAAACTTAATATATTTATTTTTAAAAAGATCTTCTTTATTTTATATAAATTTATTTAATTCTTTAAAAGATTAGCACTTGTTTGACTATTACCTAATTGTTTCCATATTTTTAATACTTTTTTAAGAACATAATTTTTGTATGTATTATGCTTAAAAAAATTTTCTGTTATATAAAATAAAAGATAAAAAATAAATTTAAATACTTATTTTGAGTATTGTGAAAAGAAAACCTGCAAATTTTATAATCTTTGCAGGTTTTTTCTTTGCAACACTCATTTAAAGCATACTAAATATCAGTTAGATTTAAAATACCATGATATGTTAAATGCAAAAAGAATGCTAAAAGATATAATTCTTTATTGAATTCTTTCTATTATTTATTATAAATTACAATGCAATCATACTAAAATTGGTTATTATATAAAATCAAAATATCTTGAATTGAAATAACTATTTTTACTAGCTCAATAAATATGTTTATTAATAAAGTAGTTCAAAACTCTACACTTTTTATAGCTTATTTTACTAGGCTAAGAATATTTTGCAATTGTTCAACATTGATTCAAAACTAATGATTACTAATTATATCTTTTGTAGTACTTGCACAATTAAATACTTGAGGTTTTTTTTTAAAATCTATTAAAAATAGATTATTAGTATAATTTAAATAAAATATGCAAAGCAGATAATATAACAAAAAAGATAATCAAGTCATTAGGAATATTATTCTGCTTAAATTGTTCAAATTTGTTTAGTAAAATTTTTTTATTATATAATTATAAAACTGGCTTGCTTAAAACTTCAATAATAATTTGGATTTTTTAATTTTTTATTGATTCTATATTACACAAAGTATTCTACAACTGAGTTAAATTGCTATTCAAAAAATTTCAGATCATATGATTTAATTAATTGCAAAAATTATTATACAATGATTAAAATTTTTATAAAAATAGTAAAAGCAAGAAGAATTAGTTTTTAAATATATAAATGATAATCTGAAATTTTTTTTTAGGTTGATTTAAACTAAATTATATCTCTACAAGCTATAAAATATATATTATTTATAATAAAGTACTAGCAAATATAAGTTATAGACTTATTGATCTAATGTTTGTTTTGTTATCTAATATAGATTAACAAGAATTCTATGCAGTTAATCACTGAGTTTTAGTTATTAATTTTAAATTTCTATCAATAGTAGAAGAGAATACAATTTTTTCTTTAAGAGCAGTACTAGCAATATAAGAATTTTTAAAAAAACTTATAATAGTTTGACAGATAGTTAAAATATTTTTTGTATATGCCAGTTTGCATATACTATTAGAGATAAGTTGAATATGATGTGCAATACATCTTATAGATAAAATGTTTAGATATTTTACTGCAATCTGTTACTTGGTCACTGTTATTGACAATTTAGTATCAATAGTTATTGCTATATATTTTTCAGGACCAACTTTTTTTAACACTTCTAGAATTTTTTTGACATTAAAATTTGCTATATAAAAAAACTTTGAAAAATCTTATAATGAATAAACATACTGTTTTTTTTCATTAGTTATTATAACAAAAGCATAAATACTATATTGTAATGAACTATACTAACTATTTATATATAAAGTAAGATTTTTGGCTTTAGCTAACTCTTTGTCTATTTTTAGTATGATATTTGCTGTCTTTGCATCTAAAATTAATAATGCTAATATATAGCACTTAGATTATATTCAGAGTTTAATATTTTAGTATAATCTTCAAAATATAGATTATTAAAGACTAAAAATAAAATATCTAAACTTATGATTCATCTAATCAATGACTTATTTGTTCTTGTCTCTTTAGCTTTATTAATAGCTTCAATCACATCATAATAGGAATTTAGAAACAATAGATAGTAGTTTGATTTTCTTTTTTTTAAGATAGTAGATTCAAATAGTGTAGGTTTATCTATACTTTGAATATTTTTTAGTATTTTAATACAAATATTTCTTATAATTAAATTAAATTAAATTATAAAACTTTAATAATACTCTTATTTAAAAATTCTTATTTATCTAATTTCTTTATATTAGTATCTATTTTAGATCTAGTTTTATAGTAATATAATTAAGGGTAAAGTATATGATTTTTAAATTATATATAAAACTTTTGGTAAATTTTTATTTAATTAAAAATAGAAAAATATTTTCTTAA